GACAACGCAGTCCTGCCGATGACATCCTTTGAGTTGATGTCGATACCATCTGCCTGTAGAAGCAGCTTCACAACTGAATCGTGGCCGTATAGGGATGCCCATGACAACGCAGTCCGGTTATTTCCATCAGCTAAGTTGACATCAACACCCCTCTCCAATAGAATACGCACAATGCCCTCATGTCCAATTCTGACTGCCTGCAATAACATCGTACTACCGCCTAATTTGGTATTCAAATGGATGCTTTGGCTCGATGCGTGAATGATATTGATGAAAACATTCTCCAAGCGAAAGCTGATGGCAAACTGTAACCGAAGATGAATTTGGCTTGTAGAAAGGTATTCATGAGAGATATTCCTTTCACCCCATCTAGAAAACGGAGATAGAAATTCGGAACGAAAGCATGTCGAAATGCGATTCAGATTTATTCTGTCTGGAAACAATTCGTAGATTATATCAACCGTGCAGGAAATTTGATCACGTAGGTGGTACCCGAAGTTGTTGCTGGTATAATTGAGAAGAGAGAACCTGGCTCGACGCAGCTTTTTAATATGTTCGGTGACTTCTGGTTCCGTCGCGTCTATTTCGTGTTCATCGTCCTTGAAGCACATGTATTGCAAGCATGTGTACGCTATTTCGTTATGACCGTCTGGGAATATTTCGCCGTTCTCGTGTAATTGTGTCAGATGGTCATGGAGCGATTTGTGGACCAGTCGGACAGTGGACGTCTCTTCATCGATGATGACCAGGCCGAGACACCAATCTATCAATGATTTCTCTGAAGGACAGTTGTCCCAGTCTAGTGTCTCATCGTACGCCAGCGGCAGTTTTCCAGGTTGTACTTTGCCCAAATCAATCGTAACCGAGAGAGCATGGCGTAACTCGATGACGGTTAATGGACGTTTGGCGAGGAATGTCCACTTTAGAACGTCCATGGCTTGTGTGGATCTTTCGGATTTCTGGTTCTTGATCCTGCTGATTGTGCTTTCAAATGCCATTTCCAGTTTGATGGGCATGGTAGAAAGCGCTTTACGTCTTTTGCTGATGGTTGTTTGGTCCAATACGGTCTGGATTTGAAGGGCCGGTAGTAAGAACCTGCGTTGTCCCGATGTATTAGCTAACTTCTCTGATACTATCACTCATAATGTTACATGCAATAAGTCGCTGTGCTAACGAAGGTTTTGAAAACTCACATTCCGTCAGAATTATCCACAATACTCTCCAGAATTTCGCTTCTGAGCTTGTCGTTCATACAGTCGCTATTTTCGTCCATTTCAATCGCATGGGAAACGTATTTTCTGATATCATCTGGTTGTGCATCTAAACGTATGTGGTCCAGAGAGCCGAGTCCAGGATTACGTTTCATGAGTTCCTCCCAGTTGATGTGTGGTCTTGCGGTGAAAAATATCCGGATCGAGCTCTGTCGGCCACATTCGTTTGAAAGCTTTGCTAGGGATTGTATAAACTCTGCGCGGTGCTTGTCGTTACACTCGTCCAATGCATCAATGCACACATAAAACTTCCGAAGCTGCTTGGCTGTTTCCCCCAATAATTGGCATGCTTCTCCTAGATCAATATTTTTCTGTTTATTGAGATGCTTTCGTAACACAGAAATGGTATCTCTAGGTAATAATCCCGATTCATTGAGTGTTGCTATGACTTGCTTCAAAAGCACGCCAATCATGTTGACCGGAGTTTGATTCTTGTTGTCTCGGTAATCACAATATAGGCAGGCGACACAAGCTCTTTCTTCCCACGAGAACGTGGTGTCGAGATGATCGAACACGAGGGAACTGCGTGATGAAACCTCAGTAAGTTTCGACCCGTGGAAGTCTCCAGGATTGACAACGCACCAGATGACAGACTTTCCCGCACCAGGAATTCCAGAGCATGCTAGAACATGACTACTAATACCATCATCTGATTCGCTATTACTCCACTTCTGGAATTCCGGTTGAAGTAGAAACCAGTTACCGGTGCCTTCAAGCCGGTTTTGCCGGATATCTTGATGTCTTTTGTGAGGTTCCAGCGGCGATATCCACGACATTATTTTTTGAATCTCATCATCTGCAGCCGGTTTAGCCCGAAGCGCTTTCAGTACATTCGGAGGAGCCACCTTGCAATCTTTCTTGGACCACGCTCATCCTGAGTGAGATGTTGTTGATTTCTCTGAAGTTGAAGTGAGCCAGCTCGGAAACCAGAGTCCTAATCTTCGATATCTCGGACATTCGCTGTTCCAAATCGGAAGGCACTGCAACTGATAGGCTCTCCAGGCCAGTTACAATTTTCTCTATCCCTTGCCGATTCTCGTTGAGCTGCGAAATCACGTCCGAGGACGTTCCTGACATGAGCTCACTGGTATGTGTTAGAAGTGTTATCCCTTGAGCGAATTAAAAGTGCGTATACCAGTTTTGGATGACCATTGAGAACTGAAAAATCTGTGTGAACCGGTGTAGCTCACCCACAGTCTGTTCAAGCTCATCCTTCTTGAGTGGCCATTTCATGCGTTCAACCAATCTTGGAAACTTCCTATGTCTTGAACAGGCCTCCGAAAGATTCACTAGTTTTGCACCGAGCTCTTTCAGCCGGCATTGACAAGCTTTGATTGCAATACACAGCACAGAAGAACTATCGAATCTGCGCCCGTTAAGATCATCCTTGCGTAGGAACCCAACCAGATCTTTCATCACTTGGCACAGTGCCGTGACTTCCAGAAGAAGGCTTCGGACTTCGCTGGGGGCTGATTGAACACCATCGACGTAGTCTTTCAGCGTTGTAGCAATCTTGCCCGCCAGACTGAGAAAGCCGGCAACGGCACCAGAAATGCTTAATGGATCCATAAACCGTCGGTAGTGTGGTAGACTGAAGATACTGTGGATGTCGGTTGGCAACGACTGTAGTCTGTAGCTGGATGGAATCGGCGCGATGGTAAAGAGGCACGCTCGCAGCGCAACCCCATGCCCCCGCTTTTCGATTTCTGCTGAGGCTCCTACATGCAGGTTATGTACATCCGGTACATCATCTATCTATCCACTCTACCTACAAGATTGGCTGTGGGCCTGGTTGCGACGACCGGGGTTGAGGCCTGTGTAACTGACACACCAAACGGACTTCGTGCGCGCGCAACAGTTAGCACCTCGAGGCAAAATTTCAAGGAGCAGATGTTCTTGATTTCATCGTCGATAGGTAGTTAAGTCTATTGAAGATTTCATGAATTTCATGAATATCTGCTCAGGTTTTGGTCCATCGGTGTTGTTGAAGGTCCTGCTACCCTACAATGCGGTTCGGTGCATTAGAGTGTTGGGGCTACTTTGAGGGATTTCGTCTCCCCACTGCGACACGGTTCCCATCGACTTCTTTTGTTTATCGGAGCTCTCAAGCCTATTTTAGGCAACAAACGCCACCTCGAGTCCTCCGAGCAATCAAAACCATCAAAACAGTCAGCGGCTCCAGTTACAAAGCTCGGAGCTATCAACGACAAGGAAACGTCGTTGCCCCCGCTCGCGTCGCCAAGAGCAAAGTCGCTGACCAGAACGGGAAGGCGCAGGCCGTTGATTCCCCTCCCCCTCGTGTCCTCAAGCGGGGAAGATTAACGACGAAGCCGACAAGAAGCAGGCTGTTGTTTCAGACCCTCGCCAAATCATGCGCTTGCGCGTCGACTGAACCACTGGCATCAACAAGCCATTAATGTACCAAGAACGAGCAGCTTGCGCGCGCCATACTTGGGAGTTGCTTGAGAAAACTGCTGCTGCCAAAACCTACGTAGCACAAACCATCCTAACTCTGTTTCGGGAATCATAGCTAAAGATTTTCAAGGGACGGCTTCTGTTCTCACTCACAGTAGCACAGTCTCGAGTACAACGTACTTACTAGCTAATTCAGCGCCCGCGGTGCATCATTGAAGCACCGGAATTTTCCACATCGTACAGGAAGGTTGACATAAACTAGATTACCCGCTCCTCATGCAAGCCCAGCCCGATGTTGGTGGCATTAAAGAGAGGCTGACCAAGGCGATGCAGAGCTTCGCAGAGACTCTCCAAAAAAGCACCACCATTGATACGAACTTGTTTGAAATGCGCGGAAACATTTCGCCGTAGGAAACTCCGATCGATATCGGAACTACTTGCATGACCATTTCAATTATCAGGAAGACGTGCCCCTCTCACGCTCCGGAAATTTCAAGGAGAACCAGAACCTTCTCGGTTCACATCGACCAATTCTAAGACCATGGTGGTAAGGGGGGATATGAAGAAGGTATATTTTCTGGACTCATTGACCGGCGCTCTGTGCTGTCTCTGCGGAGCAGGAGTACTGTATAGTGATCTTTGAGGTAGAGGACACAAACTAGAGACGCATGGAGAGAAGCCAACAAAGAAGCAGAGGATAGAGAGATAAAGTGGCGAATACCAGGTAGAAAGTGATGGGTTTTGTAGCGTTGGTAATGTAGCGTTTTCTTGCATGATATCCTTTGACGTAGACGCACTTAGAAGTGATCAGTGATTTTGCTTGGGAAAATAATGGCCCTGGAACCCCGTATGAGAAATCCCGTGGTGCTAGAATCCTGTAGCCCTAGAGCCCCCGCTGTCCTGAAATCCCGCGGTCATGGAAGCCCAGAGTCCATATGAATTGTATTTGCCGGGAGTCGATGGCTGGTCAACATGTGCTGCAAAGCCAAAAGGTGGAGGACGTGGAGCGAGAGTGAGTGAGAAGTGTTGACAGAGCTTATCGCAACTTGAGCAAGAGAGCCATAGGTGAAGATGTGACCCAACACAAGGCATTTGGCCCATCACCAATTCTCCTTACTATGCCGTCCACCATTCTGCCTACGAGTATGATTAATAAACTCACTCAACGGTGATATACCACGGGATCACAGTTATCAAAGATCGTCATCCTGGGTAATTGAAATGTATCTCATTTAGCAATATATTCCCTCCTCCTGGCCTCTCTCTGCCACGTGCTATGCGTACTTATGTTATTTTATATTGCTTACCTTTACAGCCCGGATGGTCTAGTGGTATGATTCCTGCTTTGGGTATAAACATCAGTTTGCAGGAGGTCTCCGGTTCAAACCCGGATTCGGGCCTTTTTTCTCTCTTCTCTTTTTGCATGTCCTGCAAAGCGCTGGATGAACAAACGCGTGTTCCTAAAGTTACCCGACCTATGCACAGAATGTTTGAATTTTAGAACACAGTCGCTAGTCTAGCGATGCTCACGAAACAAGACTGCTTCAAACCCGCGCAGGGAATTTCGAAGGTCACGTGCGCAGCAGCAAAGAGGTAGGACCACTGCGATAACAGATGATGAACCCCTCATCAAAGCCTAAGCCAGTTCATAAAGGGTGAGGGCAGCTGCATAAATGTCCTTGATGGTATTAGAGTAGGCGGCAGGTAACTAGTCCAATGAGATGCGCAAGTACTGTACCCCTCCCCCCAGCCCCCACTTCTTCCGTTCCTCTGGGTATTAGTAGCTAAGCCGATTTCTGTCCGCACTTTTCAAGGTTGATCACGGATAGTGACACGGTATGGAATAATGTTACGGGTAATGGTAATTGTTGCAATGTGGAAGCTTAGCCTAGGGCCTAAGTAGGAGCTTGGATCGTCTGCCAAAGCCCTGATGCTCAGAACTATCCACAATGATCGATAGACTAAGGCTGTACTGCAGGAGATTAACTTGCAATACAGAGTTTACACAGTTCTAAATCGATGGATATAGAATTTGTATGTTCTATTGCGTAACGGTGGGCACTACTAGATTCGCTATTACAATGTCGCTCACTTTATTGCGTGAGACGTGGTGATCCTAGCTAAGATGCGATGACTATTCCCCCGGTGTTATTCACGAGTTATTGCATCTTCATGTACAGGGCAAAAATCACAACATTGTTAATACCAGTTAGACTCAAAATAAATACAACATCCTAAGAAACCAAAGAAGCAACACAGGACTGCCCATCCGTCGATCCGACTTCTCACGCTATCCTTGCGAGCCTTCATCCAGCTGTTGTCGCCCATGCCGTGGTATGCTGGACTATGTGGGCCTTTCGTGCTTCTTATAAAATCCAAAGCTCTCTGCAGTCCACATCTCACTGCTATGATCCAGGGCTTTGCGAAGAGGATATCTGAGACAGAATCATATCTGTTGACCAATCGCATCTGTGTTCAAAGCAGATTAATAGATCAAGTTAGATGACAGTTAACATGAGATTCTGATGCGGAGTACTTACAGCTCTTCTGACTTCGCAACTTCGGAGGGTCCGCCAGCTCCAGTTCCATAGGACCATTGGGTATCCCTAAACCTGCACCCAACGGTGCGGCTTCTTGCGCCCATTGGCCCGTTGCCTTACCTTTACGCTTTCTATTCCTGCCCTTCCTATCCTTTCCTTCCTTACATTTTCTGTCTTCCTCCTCTTTTTCCACTCTATCTTCATCGTTGCCTATGTATTTCTCCTCCTTCTTCCGCATGGAGGCCATGATCTCAGGTAACCAACCTCTTGACGCCTTGCGAGTTGGCGCCGAAGGCTCATCCTCAGATTTTGATCCCTGCCGCGATCTAGGCTTTAAACTTGAAAACGAAGCGACTGTCATGAGCTTCTTCGCCGTGGCTCCTGCCTTTTCCTTGAGATTATCAATAGGGTCTATAGGGTCCGAATACTCTGAATCATCTGTATCAAAGTAACTAGCAAGACCTCTATCGTCTTCGGGTGAAATCAAGTGTCGACAATCATCATCAGATTTGTATTTTTATTGTCTAGCGGAAGTTGTGGAGACGTCATGGTTGGAGATTACCAATCGGCGAATCAGGGGGGATGGATAGGATGAAATGGTCGAACAGGCGGGAACAATAGATGTTTCTCGGAGGACCTAAGTTGGTAAAAAAGAAAAGGTTGCAGTCGGGTTATGGGGTATAAATACCTAATTTTGCAGATTTACACTATGCCTTGGCCTATCAAATTTATCCGATTTCTCAACATTAATAAATCTATCATTCGCGAAAGTCGATGTCCATGATTGGACATGATACCTGGAATGTCAACTAGCAACACTCATACAAAGCCTTTCAATGTTTCGGTATAAAGCAAAGCTGGGGAAACGTATTAAAGAAGTAGGTCGGATGAGTAACTCGGCGTATCATGCGTTCCTCCTAGGGCCGCATTATTATCAAGTGCGGTAGTGTTGGTATCTACCACGCTTTAGGTGACGTGCAGAATAACAACCGTTGAATTGTTGTCGATAATCCCCGGGACGCTCTACCATAACCTCTGTATTGCATGTCGGGTAAATCGATCGCACCTCACTAGTTGCACCAACACCGTTGCGACTTCCAAGGGTCCCTTTTAACACCTTTTGGGTACTAACATATTGAACGACAGATGATGGCCTTTGTACATACATGTTTCCAAACTTCGGCTAACCCCACATTATGTATTACAAGGGTAGAAAAATACAATATTGGAGCTATAGCCACCGGTCTCGGGAGTGGTGGCAACTTTACTGGACAGTGGAGAGTTATGTAAAGTGAACTATACAAGGGCCGAGAATCTAGGCTATCTTATACTTTGATTAATGCAATCCGATGTCCTGGGTAGCTATGAAACATTGTATAACTGAAGCAGTTACCTTTGTGCAGATGCCTATTATGCGTCGCCTACCAAGAGGAAGCTTAATATGAAAAAAATCTCGCTAACATTCACGCTATTAGAAACACATCAGAAGCCATACAAACGTACCTGCTTCCGCTGATACTGACCGATAGTTCTTTAGTCCTCCGTGCCGGTTGTAAATATTAATATGCGCGAAAAAAAGCGACCTTTGCAGCTCCTTGTGCTCGTTAGTGGATCCAGACCGGGGACGATATCGATGAAACAAATCGATACTGTAATATTATACCTGATAATACTACAACTGATAAGTGACCATACAGATTTAATTGGTCAGACTTCGACAAATAGCAGGTGCATAGCATGTGATGCCGTTAAAATGATACGGGGGTCGAGATAGAAGAAGATGGAGAAGAATGACGTTCTAAAATCGGAGCTTCAATCGTCAATGATCACTGACCACTGCGGTGGGTCTTTAAAAGTTGCTGTTTCATCCCAGTACCATGGTCAAGCCGTAGACAGCTGTGGGGTACATAATGCTCATGCCGCAAGTATTACCGCATTAAGGAAAGGTTGCTAAAATGTCCCATACAAATAATCCCAGTGCACGAGGTAAGGGCCATTGTGACCTGAAAATCACTGGGAAAGGACACCTATTGCGGATCTGTATAGGGCGGGCACCTTCACTGCACTCTCTGGGTGACTAGTATTTAATCAATCACTAGACTCGCCGCTCGCGTATCTATGAGTACGAACAATGCTCTGTCCAGGGGTTCGCGTCTACAAATAACGCGATAGAACGGCATTAACCTTGTTTCTGCACGCGTCAATTTTTAAGAAGTGCCACATCTGGTTGAATCCACGCGGATTTGACCATGGCTCTGGGATGCCAATTTCCCACCAGCTCCCTGTGCACACAAATATCGGTCCCGACGCCGTGGTTGTGCGAACTTTCATGCTGCCGAAGTTTACATGCATGCAGAAGACATTATTCATGATACATACGCGTAACATTTTCGACCCAACAACAACAAGTAACCGTGAGAATCATTTGTAATATAGCAGGCCTTGATAAAAATTATTTCCGGAACGATTTCATCAATTTTTTTGTTGTTGCCGGGTGGAAAATGTTGCACGTATCATGCACCACACACCCATGTTCGCGCAGTTGCAGTGTCCCGGAGTTCGAGTTTTGGCAGGTCGCTTGAGCGAGTGACGGAAAATGAATACCGTTGGAATCAGAGTGTGAAAATACCGAGTGAAAATGTTATTCATCGCGATATCAACAGTTCGATAAATCAGAGGAGGAGCGGTAGAGATGGATGAGAGAAAAGAAGAATGTCGTTCTTTACTCTACAGGGTCTACAATTACAACTCATCTACACGCTCAAAGAAGACATTTATCAACCGACCTAAGTATCCGGAGAACCCTTAATCAATAACAGTAACGATAAAACCTCTCCATCAGATATCCCGTGCCACAATTCGCGCCTTCCGCTTATCGCGATCATTATCATCAAGTCGTGAATTAATTATTCCTTAATTCATACGGTTTCCCAATGACAAACGTTTTAAATAACCAGGCTACCAAAGTTATGCACCCCAAAACTATACCGATGTGCCACCAGGACTGAATGAATATCTTAGTTTCCCCACAGCATGCCCGACAACATAATTTGCACCCTGACGGGTGTTTCTTCTTGTTAGTTTCGACATTTGGCAGATCTGGCTGTGTTGTAGGACGCTGCCCATCGTCCACGTTTCTGTTGTCTGTAGTAGCGACGTAAAAAACATCGGCTGTCGGGATTTGTACTGCTGCATTATCTTGGACACTATCGACTAGAGTTGATGCGCTATCAGTCGCGCTGCTATATGCCATGTGTCTTTCCCATGCGGACGCCTGATACACTAGTTAGGGGAAGGTTCAATGGCCGTATTTGGGTACAAACGAGTACAATAGGTGCGACCGACCCGGCTCGGTCGTTGCCGTGTTCTAAATCTGACTCCGGAATCGTTTCGAAGTGTGGGACGGAATTTCGACTCATTCTGCTGTGTCGAGCGATTTTCGAACGTTATTTGAGATGGTTGCGGTTAATGAGCGGTGGAGGATGGTACTTCTCTTTGAAGGGTGTACCAGTAGTGATACTGAATCAGCACGTGGAGACATGGAGTCTAGATATGTCTTGGAAACATGACAGAGTTATCACTGCACGCATCGTTAGGCACTCGGAAAACTGGCGACATCAACGTGACATTGCATGACCCTCGTTATTCTCAATACTCTCCGCCAGGGTCAGGCACCGCAGAACTGGTACTCTGGACATTTACAACAAAAGAACTTGTAGCCACCAATACAGCACCCACCACCAACGCACGACTGGACCAAAACTCCCATCCAACCAGGAGTACATAGTCCGCCACATGCTGGCCACACTCCGCCGTAATAACACGGATACGGGACACTATGTCCCCCGACAAGAGCTGGG